TAAGGTGTTAAAAAGGACATCGACATGTTTTTGCTTCAAAGACAAATGATTACTTTAATCAGGACATTAACAACCTGATCGTAAGATGGAAAAGCATCATTGATAAGAATGGAGACTATTTCATTTAATAAATGTTTTGATATACAAGTTGTTCGTGTTTTTCATTTAAAAAAAGTGACATTAATTTCTTGATGACCAAATATATATTGGCTATCTTATCCTGTGTGTAATCTGTCATTATTTATCATGACTATCTTATGGTTTAGGTAATCTCTATCATTATATATAATGACTATCCCACCACATGTGTAATCTGTCATTATTCGTCATGACTATTCTACAGTTTAGGTAATATTTGTCATTATCCTACAGTTTGGGTTATTCCTGTCACGACTCATCATGACAATCCTACAGTTTGAAGGAATAATCCCTGTCATTATATATCATGACTATCCTACCATATATATATATCTAGTTTTGTCCTAAATAAATATGAACAGTTTTAGTGAAGCCTGATATTTTTGTTTTGTGATTTATATTTAAAAGAAGTGTTTTTGGCAGTTTATAAAATATAGGTACCTTTTAAAACAGAAGTTTTTAAAAATAAAAATACTTTGTGTAATTTGAAAAAAAAGTAAGAATGACCATAAAAAAAAAGTAAATGTTATGCATATGCTCTTCAAAACAAACAATAAAGAAGAAGCTAAAAGTAACATTTTGTAAAGTATGAAATACACATAATTTTAAACATATTTGTATTATTTGCAGCACCCTTTTATTGTAGATTTAATTTATGCCTTTCAAACTGGAGGGAAGCTGTACTTGATTTTAGAGTACCTGAGTGGAGGGGAACTCTTCATGCACCTGGAGCGAGAGGGGATTTTTCTAGAAGACACAGCAAGGTGAGGATATATTTTGAATTATAATAAAATCATTGTAGAACTAATTAATTGCAAAGTAGGTAACTTTACTGATGATATAGTTTGGGAAAATGTGCTTATTTGTGTTGGAGAAACATCTACTGTTGGTTATAACTAAAAACATTTAATTTAATTCCTTTTTGCATCACAAACAGTTTTTCTACTTGATTAACCCTATCGCTCCTTTACTGCGCATGACTCAAGGTTTTAAAGTTTTACATTCAAATTTTATTAAACTACTTTTTGTTTATGTTACACCAATTAGAATAGCATAAAATCTTAGCTACTCATCCATATTTAATAGTATACAAGTTTTAAGTTCTTAATTCTACAAGAAAATATTTAAAAAAATCCACTAGTGTGACCCTCGTGACACATTTTCTCTTAGCATGTCATCATCCCTATTTTATCCATCACCCCCTCGAAAATGTACAAAATGTAAAATATTCTATAAAAAAGGTTATTGCTCAGACAAACCATAATTTTTATAACTTTCAATTTTGTTTGGTTACAGAGCTATCGAATAGAAAATCAGCCCCTCCTGCCACACCCACGTGTCACATCCTCTCTTTCCCAATTCATTGATATTTCTCTCTTTCATTTCATTATATATTACCTATAACCAATAGAAAGTCAAGGTTTTCGTCTATCAAATGACGTATTGTATAACGTTCTGATCCGTTAAATTTCAATTTCATTCAGAGTAGTAACAATGTTCCTGTTGGGAAAGTTAACAACTGGCTTGGATGAATTTGTAATGGCTCTTGTCGCATAGTTAGAAAGCCACGGTAATTTTGAGAGGTAAGAATTGTTAAGTGCATTACTATAATCACTATAAAAAAATCAGGCTTAACTCTCCTCGACAATCAAGGGCAAGAAAAAAGAAGATTGGGTAAGCACTTTATTTTTTGTTTGTCTTATTTATTCTTATAAAAGTAACTAAAAGCTAAAAACATAGATCTATTTAAGTTATATAAAACTAGATTAAGTAAAATAAGTAATAATAATAATATAATTAAAATGGTTCACGAGGCATGCACGCGAGCAGCTTATGGGTAATGTATTTGTTGATTCACATTCAAAATTTTATTGAGCTACAGTTTCATGAATTTATGTAAATAAGTTTGGTATGAAACTGTAGATTATAAATCAAATCTTAAAACTATACATTACTCAATTTGTTAATTTAAAAGTAAATATTAAACAAGAGAAAAACACCAAT